GAGGACGATTAAGATTAAGAAGCTCAGGGAGGCGGGGGCCAACACGGGGTTCATTCAGCGTGGAGGCCCTACGGCGTCGGCTCTATGGGGGTCCAGCATCATGGGGATTCCTTCGACCCAACTACATCGTCTTCGATTGGGAGCTGCTGGAAGTCTCGGGAAGGTCCCCAAGGGCTCCACGGTCGGGCTCCGTCTCTTGAGCTATGCTGAAGGGGTCCGAGTGGACCCGCTGCTGTTGAACATCGGGATGGTTGTGTTCCAATGGGCGGCGGCGGTCTGGGAGTCGTTTCCGAAGCTTCCTGTTTTGGAACGGTGTCTTGAAGGAGCCCTGGGTCGTCTCGAAGGAGTCCAATCACCTTGGAGGCAAGCAGGAGCCCCAGCTGAAGTAGCCGTGCTCAGTCTTCGCAGGATAGGCTGGAGGTTGCGGTCAGGTGCGTGCATGGTCACGGATCGGCAGGAAGCACTTGACCTTCGTGTTTTACCTCCAGCGCTCGTTCAGGAGCTAGCAGTTGCGGGAGCCAGGCGAGCTTCTGATCGCCAAGCTCTGTTTTGTCGTGAGCCCAAAGCCAGGTGGAATATGCCGATATTTTGGGCAGGACTTGAGGGGCTCCTGCATCGAACCAAGGGATCCTGGACGAAGAGGTTTCAGAGGACGTTGAGATCCTTGGTTTCTGGAGGACACTGGCCACAAAGTCGGCTTCACCACCATGGACTTGTTGGCTCAGCGAGGTGTCTTGTATGTGATGATCCCGAAGGGTCCTGGTGGCACAGGGCATGCGAGTGCCCAAAGCATGCAGGGCTCAGGCGTGAATGGGTTGACGACTTCCACAGGACGAGGGCTCGCAGGGTCCGCGAATGGGGGTACCACGAGGGGGAGAGGTTTGCGAGAGGCCTGTTCCCATCGCCAGAGTTGGTCTTCCCCGTCGCGACCGAGGCCCAAGAGACCATCTTGTGGCACAACAGACCTGAGTCAGGGCTCCTGAGTGGCACGCTGTTCTTAGACGGTTCGGCCTTATGGGCCTCGGCTCCGTTTTTGGCCCGAGCGGGCTGGGCCATCGTGCAGGTAGATAGGTTTGGTGATGTAGTTTCGGCGGCCTACGGGCCCGTCCCATGTCGTATGTGCCCTAAGCAGAGTTCTAGAGACGCGGAGGATTACGCCGTCTCGATGCTGCGCGTTTGTGCTATGGCGCCCTTCGACGTCTTCATCGACTGTGCAGGCGCTGTTGGGACTCTCCGTGGCGGCGCGGGCGCTGGATCCCAAAGCAGTTGTGGTCGGGCCCAGCTCTGGAGTCCGTTCTGGGGTGCGTTCTCAGAAGGGGACTTCCATGTTTTTAAAACCAAGGCCCACTGTGCCAGAGCCCAGGTAGATGCGGGTGCTACCACAGAGTGGGAGTACCGAGGGAACGCCCACGCCGACAGGTTTGCGAAGCTCGGTGCTGCGGAGCACGGCGTAGGCGAGGGGCAGTTTCAGTTGTGGCGAGGCTTTTTGTTTTTAGCCCAAGAGTCCGCCCGATGGGCGGCTTGTGTGCACGTAGAGTCCAATGGCCAGGACCACGAAGATTTGATGGAAGCGTACTGGAGGTCTCGGGGCTCAACTGCCGAGGGGGACCCTGAGACCCCAGAGGACCCCGAGCCTGAGCCCCAGGCGTGCAGCCGTGGAGGGGAGGTGGGGTCGCCGTACGGGGTGGGCGGCGGGTGGGAAGAATATGCAGGCGCCAGTTTTTGGTGGCAAGGCCACAACCTGCTGGAGGCTGATGTGCTCAGTCGCACCGCCCACGTTTCTTCTGTCGTTTTCTGTTGCCGCTGTGGCACCGTTTCCTCGGACGGCAAGTTATCCTCAGGCCTAAGGGGGTGGTGCCCCGAGAAGGCCAAAGCTGGAGGAGTGGGCCAGCTGCGGAGGATCAAGAAAGGAGAGTTCCCCTCGTACCGCGCCAATGTGCGCTCGCTGAAGGTCGGGAGGCCGCATGGAGTGCTGCCAGCGACCCGCTCGAGCCTAGCCGAGGCCGAGCTGAGCCTGCCCCCAGAGCCACAGCCCGCGGCCCCAAGCGTCGGGGCCAGTGGCGGATGGGGGCGGGCTGATCAAGGGGGGCGGGCCGAGGTGCTGAGGGCGTTTGGGCTGTGGGAGGGGGAGCTCGAACTGGTCCGCGACCTCGGCCGCTCGGCCCTGCAGCGGAGCGCGGACAGCCCTGAGGAGGGCGACTCCGACGCCGAGCCATTCTGAATTGGGGCTTGACCCCGCGTTTAGCGCAAACCCATACCATACCATACCTCCTCCTCCTCCTCCTCCTCCTCCTCCCCTCCAACTCCCCCTCCTCCTCTTCCTCCTCCTCCTCCTCCTAGCCATTTCGCGCCCGAGCGCCCCCCCCCCCCTGCACGGGGCGCGCAAGGGTGTTTCGCGGGCCAACTTCGAAATGGCCCTGCCCGCGAGAGCCGACATCAAGAAGCGTGGCGTCCCACATCATCAGCTGCAACGCTGAGATCAGGCGCGTGCGCACCAGCCAACAGACGTGGCACATTCCGTCCTCTCCTCGTTTCCTTCCTCCTCGCGTCCCTCCTCCACCTCGTGGCGAGCAGTGGCGCCAGTTGCAGCGCCGCTGCCCAAGCACAGGCAAACATCAGAAAACTGGAGCAGCACAGCAACAACTACAATGCTGGGAGGGGTACGTGCGAATGCAGGCGAGCAGGGGCCAGCCATGATCAGCTGGGAACGGTCCGTGCGGCGAGAACGTGCGAGCCAACGTCATCAACTACAGAGCTGGGGCCAGTTCGTGTGGGAGACGCCATACCGAGGAGCAGTGCGAGAAAGCAGGCAGTGGCAGCAGGGACTGTCCACGCGAGAACGCGAGAACTGAGCAACGCAGGAACAACATCTTCAGCTACATTGCGGCGAGGGTCAGCTCGTGCGAGAAGGTAGGCAGTGGCAGCATGGCCTGTCGGTGCGAGAAGGCGGGGAGTGGCAGCAGCGGTTGTCGGTGCCGGGCGGCCAGCAGTAGCACATTCTTCAGCTACGTTGCAGCGGGGGCCAGCTCGTGCGAGAAGGCGCGCGTTGGCAGCAAGGCCAGTCGGTGCGAGAAGGTCGGCAGGGGCAGCAGCGGTTGTCGGTGCCGAATGGCCAGCAGGAGCCACATCTTCAGCTACTGCATTGCATAGGGGTCAGCTCGTGCGAAAATGCAGGCAGTGGCAGCATGGCCAGTCGATGCGAGAAAGCGGGCAATGGCAGCAGCGGCTGTCGGTGCCAGTGGCCAGCAGGAGCAATTCGCCAGCTATCTGAAGCGACGGTCAGCTCATGCGAGAAGGCAGGCAGTGGTTGCAAGGGCGATCGGTGCCAGAAGGCAGGCAGTGGCACCAACAGTTGCCGGTGCCAAATGGCGAGGCAAGAACACATCATCAGCTACAAAGCTGCTGGGGCCAGCTTGTGCGAGAGAGCAGTGGCAGCAGGGACTGGCGGTACAAGAAAGCAGGCAGTGGCAGCAGTGGCTGTCGGTGCGAAAAGGCAGCCAGTGGCAGCTGTTGCTGTCTGTGCCCGCCAGCGCAGCAAGAACACCTCATCAGTTGCACTGCTGCTGGGGTCACCTTGTGCGAGGAGGGCAGGCAATGGCAGCGGGAGCTGGCAATGCGAAAAGAACAAGCAGTGGCAGCGAAGCTGGCACTGCGTGCAGACGCAAGTGCACGTGCGAACGTCATCAGCTACAACGCTGGGGCAGCTCTGGCGACATGGCAAATTTTCCTACGGAAGGCAACCGGCGGCGGCGTGTGCCAGAGCACTCAGCAGGCCGCCGCAGAGGGCTGTGCTGCCGAAGGACGTGGCTCGAAAGATGTGCCAACCACCTGGGGGTGCCCATTCCCCCCCTCGTCGCTCCTCGTCGCCGCGGTTGGGCTCTCGCCGCCGCGTGAGAGAAACGGCAGGGGGAAGAAATGGCTGGACTGCACGTCATCATTTCTACTTCCAGAGCAAAGCTGGACCTTATCGCCCAGGGGCGGCCTGGGGTAGGGGGAGCTTTCGTCGCTACCGTTGCCGGGGCTTCCCGACATCGGACGTTGTGCAAACATGATCCAGCATGATCCTCCTCCTCCTCCTCCTGCTCCTGCCCCTCCCCCTCCTTCCCCTCCTCCGGGCGCCCGGCCTTCGACCTCCGAGGCTCGCGATATCGACATCCTCCTCCTCCTCCTCCTCCTCCTCCTCCTCCTCCTCCTCCTCCTCCTCCTCCTCCTCCTCCTCCTCCTCCCCCCCCTCCCCCTCGCCCTCCAACTCCTCCACCCCCCCGTTCCCCTCCTTCTCCTCACCCTCCAACTCCTCGAACTCCCCTTCCACCTCTTCCTCGTCCTCCTCCTCCTCCTCCTCCTCCTCCTCCTCCTCCTCCTCCTGTTCGGGGTTGGGTGATGCGCCGTTTCGGGGGTCGGCACGTGGTTAGGCGTGGTTTTGGGACGCCGAGTGCCTACCTGGGCAGATCTCGGCAAGGTCCGTGCTGGGACCATTCGACTCAGGTGCCTGCCCTCCTTTCTGGCTGAAGTTAATACAGCTCCTTCCCTGCTCGCTCTCGCCGCCGCTGCCTCCTTGCCGCTGCCTGCCCGTTGGCCGTCGCCGGTGATTGGCCATGTGCCGCATCTGTTTGGGTTGCGATGTGGTAAAAAGGGAACGCGCGCCTTCCCCTGTGGCTAATTCAATCGAGGAGGTTCAGCGAAGACGTGCCAGCCTGGCCCATCAGTCGTGCAAGCAAAACGACGGCAAGCACGATGCGCCACTGCCCATACGCAGCCTTTTGAGCCTCCCCTTGTGCGCTGCAGGGTTTTCAATTCGAGTGGTTATGAGGGCGTCACGTTCCTGTCGGACCTTGAAGGATAGCGAGGAGGGAAGAAGGGAAGGGAGGCGGGAGGAGGGAGGAGGAAGGAGGAGGGAAGGAGGAGGAGGGGAGGAGGAGAGGAGGGAGTGCAAGGAGGAGTAACAGGCGCTTGGGGGAAGACCCGGTCCCCGCGGGCTTCTGGGCAGTCGGCGGAGCCAGGTCGAGAACGCGTCGACGCTGAAGGAGGAGGAAGTCGACAGGGTCCTGAAGGATCGAAGAAGAAAAAACAAATACATAAACAGAGCTTTTGGCGCTCCTCGCGGATTTCTTGGATCCGCGCATGGGCCCCCCGGCGGCGCGTCTGGCGCCGCCCCTGGCGGGCTCCGCGCGCAAGGGAGGGGGGTCCAGCGCGAATCAAAAAATCCGCACGGATCGCCACAAGTTTATGTTTTTGTGTTTTTTCTTCTTCTTCTAGAGGAATCGACGAAGATGTGGCTCACCGACTGGGAGCGGATGGAGAACGCAGAGAACGAGTGCCCGCCCTGGGGATGGCGGGAGAGATAGAATACCACAACACGGCGCAAACATAGATTTACGGAACTCGGCGCGGATTTCCAGGAACGGCGCTGGTCCAAGATTTCCCTCGAGGACCTCCGAAAATGACAGTTTCCCTTTCAACAGGAGAGGATGACTTGGACATGCGATGTCCAGACTTGTCCGATACGGGGCCCCGAGAAGTCCTCACCCTTCTCCGAGGGGCCGCGTCTCATCCCGGCTTGTTTCTGACGATCCCTCCTGGGCCTGTCGAGGGGCCCCCAGAGGCCGAACACGGCCAAGAACTCGGGTATAGCCAGGACCCCAGGTAAGGGGACCCGGTTAGTAGTAGGGTCCAAGAGACCCTAAATTGGCCAGGGTCACTAAACCATGTCTGCCGTGGCTGGTGTTTTTTCGGGTGACGGCAGTTCTGGTTAGTGGAACGGGGCGGGGGGGGCGTCCTCCAGTACACATCACTAAACCAGGTCCCACTGAACCCAGTTCTGCCAACGCTTGAAGAGCCTCCAGTCCTGATTTGTTTACGACGGCCGGCTACCAAGGTCGGTCTGCGCACGCGCGAGCCTCCTTGAAAGAAGGCCCTGCCCGGGCTCTGCTTTCCTCCCGTTCCCTCCTCCTCCTCCTCCTCCACCTCGTCCGTCCCCCCCTGTCGGAGCTGTCTCTTACCTTCTGCAATCTTTTCAAGCCTGGCGGGTCGAGCATCGGGTCAGCTGTCTACTCCCTGCGCCGTCCGCACCAAGCCGAACACCTTACAAAACAAGTGAGCAGGTGAGGTTCCCTTCAGAGCCAACTTCGCGAGACAAATTTCGACATCGTAGCAAAAACTCGAGTGGAGCCCCAGACCCCTCTTTCTCTTCTCGAGCTGGATCGATCGGTGATGGTCCCGGGACGTGGGCGAAAACGCCTGGCGCGGAAAAATTGCGACGCCAGGGCCTCAGGGTCAGCGTTTCTGGTCTCGGCGGCGCGCCCGGGGAGGAAGTGAGAGGGGGCGGGCCTTCTCGGGCAGTCACAGCTTGTTCTTGCAAGGCATATGTCGACTGACGCGGGGGTAGCGTCCCGCCGGCATCGCAGGGCGCGACTGCGGGCGGCTGCATGACCACCCGCCGCGCGCCGCTGGGCGGGCCAGGCCCCCGCGCGGGCTTGGCAGCATGCCGCGCGGCCGTGCGTCGGTGTCCTCTCTTGCTCACTTCCCTCTCCGAGCACGGTCGAGATGTCTCCATTCTGCCGCCTGGCCGCCGGGCGGGGTATCAAGTACACGGTCATGCCTGCGGCACCCTACCTGCCCATGGCGGCCATCTAGGGGTAGGGCGTCCGCCCAGGGTGTTGTCTTCTGCTTGCCAGAGCGCAACTCTGGCTGACCTCTGGGGCGATGCGCGGCGCGTCCGCGCGCCATAGTGCGTCGGACGCGTCCGCGGTCGCGGTTTCGTTTTCTCCCACCCGCCACCTTCGATGGGGGGTATGGTGCCCGCGTGCTTGGGCTGGCGCCTTGATTGACCCGCCGCCCGCCAACGTCGGTCGACGTGGCGGGTTGGCGATTCGACGCGAGGGCGTCCGGACGCGGCCCCACCGAACGTCGATTGGGTGCCGTTGTTCCCTCTTGGGTTGAGTGTGTGTGTGTGTGTGTGCTTTTGAGGCAAACGAGCTTCAAACATGAAACTCAAAAGCTCTAGTAATACTCTGATCCAGCTCTGATTCGACTCTGGCCCGGAACTCTGTTTCATGTCTGATTCTCTCGAAGCTCTGATTTAACCCTGGCCTGAACTCTGATTTAACTCGTATTCGGCTCTGTCCCCGACCAGAGCTAAATCAGAGTTCCATCAGAGTTTCAGACCATAACTAATTCAGAGCATCCGCTAAACCAGAGAGATGAACCAGAGTTTCAGGCCAGAGCCAAATCAGAGTTTCGTAAGAGCGCGCCCGTACGGAACTCAATACTCGAAATGGGGACCCAGCTTCAAGCTACCCCCTCCTTCCTTCGAGAAGGGGGGGGAGCTTCCGAAGCTACCCCGTGCCCTCCCTTCTGAGGGGTTTCTAAGCTAGGGGGGGCCCTGGCTAAAGGGGGGGGGGGGGGGCTTCGAAGCTATCCCCCCCCCTCCCTCCCTTATCTGGAGCAGAAGGTGAGCCCAGGCTTCCCTTTCAAAGGGGGGTACCCCCCCATCCTGTGCACAGGAGGGGGGGCTTCCAAAGCTACTTCCTCCTCCCCTTCCTCCGGGGGCTTTGGCAAAATGGCGGAATCTTGACGGCATGTGCGCACCGCAACGCTAGAAAACGAATTGGAGAATAACGTCGCTCTTGGTTCAGTTTCTTGCTTTCTTATTTTCTCGGCCCCTGGCTCGGAGTTTCGTTTTCTCGGTCCCTGATTCTTTTCATCGTTTTCCCATGTTCTCGGCCCCTGGTTCGTTTTCTTGTTTTCTCGTGTTATCGGCTCCTGGGTCGCGGTCTCGTTTTCTTTGATCCTGGTTCGCGCTTGTGTTTTCTCGTTTTCTCGGCGCTTGGGTCGTTGTCCAGTTTTCTCGGGTCCTGCTTTGTTTTCTCGTTTTCTCGGCCCCTGGGTTGTGGTTTTCTTTCCTGGGCGCTGGTTAATGTTCTCGTTTTCTCGTTGTCTCGGCCCGCGGGTGGTGGTCTCGTTTTCTCTGACCCTGTTTCGTCTTCGTTGTCTCGGCTTCTGGATCGTGGTTTCGTTTTCTCGAACCAAGCGTTTTTTGGAGATCTCGGCCCTTGGGTCGTGGGTCGTTTTCGCGTTTTCTCATTGACTCGGCTCCTGGGTCGTGGTCTCGTTTTGTCGGGGCTTGGTTCGTTTTTGTTGTTGTTGTTGTTGTTGTTGTTGTTGAACATTATTAATTCTAGAGAATAATTATTGTTGGGACCCCTGGTGCACGGCCCCCCCGCCGCGCCTAGGCCGCAGCTACATTTTCATCATTTTTTCGCGAAAGCTTCAGAAAAGTGGATGGGGTCCAGATCCGGCTGTTTTGTTGTAATCCGTTTTCCCTTGCAAAAAAACACTATAAAATGACATTTCTTGTTCTAATATAATCAAATTTCAAGAATCCCTTGCAAAAAATAAGGTAAAGTGGACATTCGCGCGCGCAAGACGAAATCCTTCCAAAAGCTTAGTGTTCGGAGCGATTTTAACATAAAAACATCAAAAAACCAATGGTTTTTCAACAAAAAAATGTCAAAATCTCATCCCGCGCGCTCTTGCGGATTCGTAGGAAACCCAACACTTTTTAAACATTTCTGTCAAACGGGCTTTTGCGAGCAACTTTTTCGAACTTCTGCGACAACGGTTGCGCACCTGCCAGGGCCATCATCCCTGTCAAATAATACCATGCGGGACACATTCGTTTTTTGCGCGCGCACGCCGAAATCTCCAAAAACCATTGGGTTCTTAAGATTTTTAGCACCGCGCATCATAAAATCACACGAATCGCACCGTAGGTCCTCGACAAACACCTGCACGACTTTTCAAAAACTCCTCGAAAACTCCTCTCTCTCTGTCTCTCTCTCTTTGTCTCTCTCTCTCCCGCTCTCTTCCTCTGTCTCGCCTTCTCTCTCTCAGTGTCTGTACCATGTCTAGCACTGGTAACAAAGGTATTTGTGTATCCCCACATCCGCCCAGGAATTCCACAAATGTGACCAACTATCTTGCGAGTACGTATCATCTCATGTGTGTCGTGCACACTATCAAATGTAACAGAGTTGTGTATTCCCATCATCCCAGGAACTTGACCCAAAAATGTGACCAACTCCGCTCTCTCTGTCTCTCTCTCTGTCTGCTCTCTGTCTCTCTCTCTGTCTCTCTGTATTATGTATTGTATGGCACAATTGCACCATGCTGGGCACATGCGCGCCCCGAATAAGTGACCAAGTTCTGTGGGTGTGTACCCCACGCCAGTGTAGTAGCCACGGTCGTCCGCACGCCACGAAGTGAAGTGTCCCAACGTCATAGGGCGGGAAGCTGGGTTTGGGTGGTCGCGAAGAGTCGTTTGGATATTTGGTAGAGCTTGTAATGCCCCCCCACGAAGTGGGGGTATTGCCTGGTGTCGTATGAAAACCCTGGCACTGGGGAGAACACCACGCGTTCGGGTAAAATGATTGTTGTTGTTGTTGTTGTTGTTGTTGTTTTTTTGTTGTTTTGTTTTCTTCTCCTTTCTTCTTTATTATGTATACAGCATATTTATTTATGTATGTATGTATATATATATATATATATATTTCTAGGCCTTTTGGTCGTAGTCTCGTTTTCTCTGTTCTGGTTTGTTTTTCGTTTTGTTTATTTTCTCGGCCCCTGGTTCGTAGTCTCGTCGTGGTCTCGTTTTATCGGACACTGGTCCGTTTTCGCTCTCTTTCCTACCTCGTCCATCCCCTCCCTCCTTCCTCGGCTTCCCTCTCCCCCCCTTGCCATCCTCCCCCGTTCGCGCCCCTCTCCCCCCCCCCTCTCGTCCTCAGTTTGTCTCCTTCCTCCGCCCCTTATCCCCTCCCTTGTCCTCCACCTTCCCTCTTCCCCCTCTTCCCCGCCCTCCCTTATCCTCCACCGTCCCTCCCCTTCCCTTTCCTCCTCTGCTTCCTCCCCTTATCCCCTCCCTTATCCTTCCACCTTCCCTTATCGCTCCGGCCCTCGCTCCCGCCTTCGATCCCGCCCTCGCTCTCGCCGTCGTTCCCGCCCGCGTTCCCACCCTCGTTCCCGCCCTCGTTCCATCCTTCGTTTCCGCCCTCGTTCTCGCCTTCGCTCCCGCCGTCGTTCCCTCCCTCGTTCCCGCCGTCGCTCCCGCCCTCGTTCTCGCCTTCGTCCCCGCCTTCGTTCCAGCCCTCGTTCCCGCCCTCGTTCCCGCCCTCGTTCCCGCCCTCGTTCCCGCCCTCGTTTCCGCCTTCGTTCTCGCCCCCGTTCTCGCCCCCGTTCCCGCCTTCGTTCCCGCCTTCGTTCCCGCCCTTGTTCTCGCCCTCTTTCCCGCCCTCGTTCTCGCCCTCATTCTCGCCCTCG